GATGAGCAGAGTGGCAGAAGGCAGACAACAGCCATGTGTGTCTTCCAAGCATGCCCCCTCTTTTCCCTGGCAGCAGCCCCTGCTCCAGTCTTTGTCTTCTTTCAGCTGGGTAAAATAGCTTTGTGTGATCTCTTTCTCTGTTCCCAGCACTCTGTTTTTTCAAGGTCATGGATTCAACGTTATTTTCTCCTTTGTAATGGCATAAACAACATCAATATAAAGATAAAGGAAAGAAAAAATTGCTGGCAATACTGCTACCACAATGACTCATTTGTTTCCATTTTTTATGCTCCCCTCTCCAGGGCTTGGTTATATACATAGCTCATTTTCACATAATTGTAATCATAGCATGGACACAAATTCATATTCTGTGTGCATTGTTTAGCATTATATGATATTTATTTGCTGTGTTGTTACAGTGTATTCATCATGATCATTTTAATGGCCACATAATATTCCATTAAATGGTTATAACATCATTTACTTATTTTTATATTTCACTACTATAGATGATGTTACAATAAACATAGAGCCCCCTCCTTCATTTGAATGCTTTCCTGAACTTTGTATCATGTCAAAATGCCTCTTCTCATTTAGTCTTCTATTCAGGCTACATTGATTCAGTCTACCAACATTGGCAAGGCATTGGAGCCTATGCACAGAAGAGCTGAGCATGGGCCCTGGGCTCAGCATAGTGGTACAACAAGCACCCTAGTAATCAATTACATTGTTCTCTAAGTCAGTAGTGTCCAGTGGAGGAAGCGAAACCTTCTGCCTTTTTCTCCCCTATTTGATTTTTCGTTGTTCTCTTGCCAGGACTTTGCCTCCTGTCTGGCAGCTCCAGTTAATCTCATTTGCCCAGTCTCATCTTTCTTTTTTGGCTGGCCCCTCATCTCTCTTTTCCCAAGCACCCTTCCTTAGAGCAAACTGCCATAATTGAACATTGGAATGGGTATCCCATAATTCACAAATCCCATTTCTTTCTTAATGCAAATGTGTCCAACTTCTATGTCCTCTAAGAAGACTTCTCTAAGAAGTTTGCAAAATTGGATGCTTTAGGTCAAAGTTGGCTGTGCAGTTTTCTGGCTTGGTGGGTGTTTTTCAGTTGATGGAATTGGAATGTTCATGAACTGGGCATTCTCTGCTTCCCCGGGCTCATCCCTAGCCACTGTCTCACACTGTCAACGATCTTCAGGTGCATTGTTTTCTGTTGCTCCTCACTGCCATTGCACACTACATCCTTCTCCACTAAATCTGATGCATTGTCCTTTCTCTCTCCCTGACCCCTCTCTAGGGAAATTCAATAGCTCTATATTCCAACCTTTTACAAGCGCTCTTGTTACTTAATGTGTGTCTGTTTATCTTATTCATTTATTCAGTCAGAAGACTGGTCAGATAAAGGAGACTCACTACCTTGTGCCAGGTGGATCCTGACAGGTTGTTAACCACTAGCATTTATCTCTCCCTGCTTCCTAACTGTGGCTACAATGTGATAGTTACATCAAATTCCTGCCACCATGGTTCCTCCACCATGATGGACTATCCCCTCAAACTACGAGTTCAAATGACCATCCTTCCCCAACTGTGTTTTCCACAAGACAAGTAACTAATGCATATAGTTAGCAGAACTGCTGGGCCAAGTGGAAACTCTGTGTTTAACCTTCTGGAGAAGAGTCAGGCTATCTTCCTCAATACTCTGTATCATTGAAATAATGCCATGTTCCTGTTCCTATCAGTGTTATTCCCCAAATCTCTAGCTCAGATTTCTCTTGGAACTGCCTGTGAACTGCTCTCCCTAAACATAGCAAGAATTCTTGAACCTAACATTTCAAAATGTAATTGATCTTCTATTGCCTGACCCCATACTATATTTCTTCTCTGTCCCTCTCCTGTTACCTACCTCGGTATGTAATAGGTCAATCTACCCAGATGCCCAAGTACCAGCCAACCATGAGACTCTTACCCCTCCCACAGTCCACAGTCTTCAAACTCAGTTTCTCTCCCCCTGTCTCTCTTTCCTCCTTCCTCTCCCCATTCCCCAATTGGGCTGACAGAACACTCACTCTGCATCCCAGGCTGGCCTCAAACTCATGATCGTCTTGCTACCGCTTTCCAAGTGCTGAGATTACAGACATGTGCCATCATGGTCAGTTATATCCAATTTATTTCTAAGCCCCAAAGGTTCAGTCTTCCCAACAACTCACTAATGCAGTTCCCTTTCTTCAACTCCAGTTGCCACTGATCCAATTAGTCTAATTTTCCCCAGAATATCTTTCTTCTAACCTTTAATTTCACTCCCCAGATTAGCCTAAATACCATAGTTATCATGGTAATTTACTTTTTAAAAATACGTATTTGTATGTGTATGCTGTTTTACCTGCATGTGCATCTGTGCACCACTTGCATGCTTGGTTTCCACAGAGGTAATAAGAGAGCATCAGGAGCTGGAGAGATAGTTCAGCAGTTGCATGGTCTGCACTTCCCGAGGTCCCAGGTTCAGTTCCCATCACCTGCATGTAACTCCAACGCTAGGGGACTTGACACTCTCACACAGACACACATGCAGGCAAAACACCAATACACATAAAATAAATAAATTATTTTTAAATGTAAAAAGAAGAAAAGGACATCACATTACCTTGGACTGGAGTTACAGACAGTTGTGAGCTGCCATGTAGGTGCTGAGACTCAAGTCTGAACCTGAGTCCTCTTGAAGAGCAGCCAGTGCTCTTAACCACTGAGTCATCTCTCCAGATTAGATAATCCACTTTCTTAATCAAAATTCTTTGGTAATGTACATATATACCATAGGCTGTGGGATAAAATTGACCTTCTTTGCCTAACAGGGTAGCATATAATGCCTCAGCCATGTTGAATGAGGTTTGTTCTCTCAACCCTCTGGGCCTTGGGTATGCAGTTTCTTCAAATTCTTTTACCAAGCCTCTTGTCTACCAAACAAATCTTGCTCATCTTTCAGAGCCTATGTCAAATGTACCTTTCCCTATGAAGCCTTTGCTGGCTTAGTGGACAGTGGTCATCCTATCCTTGTGTTCCCACAGAGCTTGTGCAAACACCTAGGACTTGCTTAGAGACTTCATTGTAAAGGATGCTTCCTAACCTATCTTCTTTTCTATCTATACCATAAAATAACAGAAGGCAGTGATCATTTCCCATAGGATTCTTTAGCCCCTAGCATAGTGTGGAGCAAAAAGGTTTACTACTGATGTGGAGGGAAGGGGGGAGAATAAAGTAAACTTTATTGAGTTTATTGGTACTTTATCTGCCTTCTGTGGACCAAGAATGTTTTTTTAAAAAAAAAACACTTTATATCTCATTTAATCCTCACTTAATCTTCTATTCGATCTGTCTGCTGAGAAATGGGGCTTTATGGGACTAGGTAACTTGTGGGCTATCGTGTGTGTGTGTGTGTGTGTGTGTGTGTGTGTGTGTGTGTGTGTGTGTACAAGGGCAAGAGTGAGAGGATGAAAAATACTCTAGGAGTAGTGTCTTACAACCAGAATCCTCACCAGCTTTCCCCCCAGTGCTAAGTCACTACCGCTGAGCAACATTCCCAGCTCTTACCAGCTTCGTCATAGTGTCCTGTCTCCAGACCACATCCATCTACATTCACTTCTCAAAAAGCAAAGCTACAAGAACCTTTAAATCTCATAAAAATGATCCCCCCACCCCGAGATCTGCCTCAGGCTCCATCTCTTCAATCTGAGACTTCAGCTGGGCCTATCAAGCCTTTCCCATTCCTCTCCTCTGGATAGTTAATAAACTTTCTAGTCATATTGATTTTTCTGTAGCCAAATGTTTTTCATTGGAATTGATCTAAGACTAAATGATAATTTTCTTTACTATTTTTTATTTTTGTATATATGTGAATGGTATACATATGTGTATATTTGTTTTCCCATATATATGAGTACCCATGTGTATATGCATGCATGTGTGTATCTATGTGTACACATGAATGCAGAGGGCTAAAGTTGATGTTGAGTGCTTTCTTCAATTATTGTATGCCTTATATATTGAGATAAGGACTTTCAGTTGAACCCCAAGATCACCATAGCAGGCTTGCTCTGGACTCTATCTCTGCCTCCTGTGCATTGAGATCGCAGACTGGCCTCCAGGCCCATTCAGTATTTATGTTGGTGAGAGGGGTTGAACTACGATCTTTACCCACTGGGCCTAGAAACAAATGCGTTTACAATCTATGGTGATTCTTTATCCTGGTAGATTTCAGATGGGCCCGGCTGGCACAGATTATAGGGCACTCCATCCCCATTCTTATTTTTGGCCTTGGTCCTGTCTGACTTGGATGCTGGACCATTTTACTCAGACTTGTTACCTGGAAAGTCTGGCTTGGTGCCACTACTCAGCCTGGTAGGATTCCCTGTCCGTTCCAGAATGTGCTTTATCCATCTAGCTTTGCCAGAGGACTGGGCAGTATCACTCACTACATTATCTTTTGGCGCTACAAAACTCTGCACTTGCCCAGGGTACCTTTTTTGGCTCGTGAGAGAATTAGTCTCTTTCCATGGGTAAGGATGGCACTTTTCCCTCTGTAGCCCAAAAGAGGCCCCTGTTACACTTCAAACTGTCTAGCTAGCGTTTCCATAACTCTTCTTAGCTGGCTCAGTGAGAAAATTACAAAGCTAAACATTTATGAAGATATCAAAATAGAAACCATTATTTTTATGCTAATCATAATAGTAATAAAAAATAAAAATAAATAAAATGTGATTTTCTTTGTTTTTCATTGCCTGTTTCTTTTTTCCTAATTTTTACTTTTTTTGAGATTATAATTTAATTACTACATTTCTCCCTTTTCTTTCATCCCTTCAATATATACCTTCCCACTGTCCTTCAAACTCATTGACTCTTTTTATTGTTACTGTTATGTATTGTTATTGCATGCATATATGCATTTGTGTATACAAGGTTGCTTGTATGTATGTTTTCAGGCACTGGACAACCAATTGGTGTGCTCTTACCTGGGGAGGACCATATTTTCTGATCTCAGCTTTACTCAGTTGCCTATAATTCTTTGTGTAGAGTTGAAGCCTTGTGGGTTTTCCCTCATCCACTTCGTGTATTCGTTGGTATCATCCTTGTTCAGCTCACATTTGGGCAGTCATATTGGTGAGACTTTAAGGGTGTAGCTTCTGTTTTGATTAGGAGATATAATCTTACAACAAAATTCCTGATCCTCTGGCTCTTCCAATCTTTCTGCCTCCTTTCTCCAGTGCTCCCTGAGCCTTAGGTGCAAGAGTTGTTGGTTTGTAGATGGATGCCTTGGGACTGGGCTCCACAACTCTGCATTTGATTGGTTGTGGCTTTCTGTAGTGGTCTCTGTCTGTTGCAAAGAGAAGTTTCCTTGATGAGAGGTGAAGACTACACTTTTCTGTGGGTATACGGACAAATGTTTATAGACTGTTGTTAGAGATTGTGCTGGTTTAGTAAATTAGTGGTTGTAGATCCCCTAATAACCATGATTTCACTAGCACTGAATAATTAGCTGGGTTTCCAATACCAGGTGTGATATCCCTCTTGTTGAGCAGGTCTTGACTTACATTTAATAGGAATTCCTCCATTCATAGGTTCAGGGACCAAGTCAACTTTATGCTTTATGATCCCATACCCTCCACATCATTTGTGGCTTCAGGATTCAGTAATCTGTTCCAAGTTAATCCAATCAAAGTCACTCTCTAGAACCTGAAACTGGTACTGGGATACATAGCATGGCAACCAGTCACTAAAGCTGGGTCCTCATGAGTAATAATGCATTAACGAAGAGGGACCACCCACTTCTGCTTGGGGCCGCAGAACAGTACTGATTCTTGCCCTTACTCACAACCCCTCCTTCTATTCCTTGCACCTAAATGAGACTTAGATATTGACATGTAACCAGTGAGGCATCAGGACTACAAATGGTCCTCCACTTACAATGTTGGTTGTTCTGCTTTGTATAGTGCAAAAGTAATACACATTCAGTGAAAAGCATACTTCCAATTTTCATCTTTTCTGGAGCTGGTGATATGCCATGTCATAGCGATATTACCCTGTCAAGATGCTGGGCACTGACCTAGTTCCCAGAAAATCATACAATCACCAGGCTAAACAATTGACACTCCACCGTCTAACATGTTGCTAAACCATTGTTCAATAGGTTAGATGCATCAAGTGTGTTTTTAACTTTTACAGTGTCTTCAATTTATGGTGGGTATATCGAGCTATACAACCATTTAAAGTTGAGTAGCATGGGCAGGTCTACCCTTCTGTGACACACTGCTATCCTGGGCCTGAAAAGAGATTGTTTTTATTGCTTATGCCAAAGCTGACCCATAATAGTGTTTGCCTAGCTATTCTGTTAAGAAGAACTTTGAAGTAGAATCAGCACTGAAGTTAGGGTTAGATTTCTACTATGGGGAAGGGGTGGACAGTCACATTATTTGACAGGTATTTTTAAACCTTCTCTGAGCTAATATCTGGGACCACTCCTGCCTATGAGCCTATGTGGCCTCTTTCTGAAGTGTTTGCCTAGTTCATAAGCTGTGACCTTGGACAAATGCCCCCCTTTTCCGAGCTCCAGTTCCTTGAGTATAAAATAGAGGCTGGATCAGACAATCACAAGGTCTCTGCTAGCTCTGTGAATCTCGTCAGCCTCCTTCAAACAGCAGACACCCTGTCTCTTCCTGCTCACCCCCCTGTCCTTCCCCCACACAACAGAACTCACTGAGTTCTAGTGTCTTCTTTGGGAGGTATCTCCGGTTCACTGTTCATTGGCAGTGTGGAGAGGATTGACAGGCTTTGAGCCCCACGGGTCACCAGCCCCTTTCCTGCTCAAGTTATGAACTCCACCCACTTCCCCAGGGTTTCTTTGATGATTCATTCAGGTCCCCCTCTCTTATCCTTGGGAATGACCTTCCAGAATTTTATCTCTTCAGTTTTGCAATAGGAAAACACTTCACATGCTGAGTTTTAGGAACAGACAAAATCCATCAATGGCAAAAAGAGTTGCTTTCTCATGCCCTCCCTCCTCTGGCCCTGTCTCTATCTCTACATCATGTACCACTCTAATCAGGCTCACACCCCAGCCATAGACTACAGCTGCCCACCCCCCCCACCCCCCGCGCCCCTTCAAACAATCCTGCCTTCCCCCAAACTTTTCCTGTTCAGCCTTGGCTGCCTCAGCTTGTTCCTTTCCCCTTGCTAGGCTCTTCCTTTTGTAGTAACCCAGTTACCATATCCCCTCCCTGCCACCCAGCTCCAGCCCCATTGCCCCCTTCATGGGCCTCTCCCTCGGCAGCTGCTACAGACTGAATAAGCACAACAAAAAACTTACCACATGCATTGAAATGGAGCTCTCCTTGGACAACTGCAGCTTTCCCTGGGCAGGATTTCAGTCTGATTTTCTCAGGGTTCCCATAGAGCCTGAGTTCCAGCCCAAAGCTCTCCCACAGATGTCTGGGCCTGTGGTGAACCAGAGCCCTTTGCTTTCTGGCCAGTTCTGAAGGACCAGGCTCCTCCCACTTCCAACGTCTCTGTCCACTGTTCATGAGCCTAACAAACAGCGAGGGCAGGGGAAAGTCAGCCAAACAGGGCAGGGAGGCAGCAGTCTGCCCCAAGAGGGCTTGTTTAACTCAGAACCTGGGCCCCCACGGCAGGGATCCAAGCTCCCCTCGCTGAAGCAGAAACCAGTCTTGCAAATAAACATATAAACAATGATTACCAGTGAGTCAGGAAGGGCTGTTAAGGGCTGGAGAGCTCTGAGCTGTCCCTGGCACTTACCCCAATGCTTAGGCCTCAGTATTGCCCAGGAGGGCCTGGAAGTGGGATTTGGTCTCCAAAACCTAATCTCCACCCAACCTCTGAGCAGCTGAGGCTGATGGCTGGGGCCTCCCTGTCAATCATTGCCTCTTTCTTCCTGGCCCCTCCATCTTGAATCCCACTCCAGCTCATTTTGCATTGCAAGCCTGGGCTCTTGCCCATCTCTACTGTGTATCTCTGCCATCTTTTGGCCTCATCCTCTTTCCTCATCCTCAACCACATTTTAATACCCACAAAGTGCATTTGCCATAACATTCCCCCCTATATGGGTTCCCTTTCCAAATGCCCACTAGGAATTGTGAAAATGACCACAGGGAACACGTCCCCTCCTGCCCTTCTCTAACGTTTCGGCATCCTTGGCATATAGTTTAAGTTATCTTAAGACCCTGAGAGCCCTGTTCAATTCCTGCAACCCCACTAGGGAGTGCCTATACGCTGTGGGACAATTAGAGCACCCAAGCTCTGAGTCCCAGCTTGCACCTTCTTGTCTTTGTCCCTTTCTGCCGTTCTCAGGAACCATTAGTGGCTGGTACCGAGTATTTACATACTTAGAGAGCCTCATAATGGGTGAGGCTTCCTGTATGTCACAGCTTTCAGCCTTGGCCAGAAGCATGAGCTGTCATTGTCCAGTCCCTGGACCAGGCTGCAAGTTTCACAGATAGAGCCATGTCCTGCTATTGCACTGTCAGGCCTTAGCACAGTATCTGTCACATAGGAGTCACTCAAATATGCTGAATATGCTTATGGAGAAACATCTAAATGAATAAAGCTGCAGCAATGCATTGCAGGGCCTGCTGTGACCTTTTCTCTGTAACTAAGCTCTCTAGACTCACGAGTTAGTTTTTTGAGAATGCTATAACACGTTAACACAAACATAGCAGCTTATAACAGCACCCGTGGACAAGCTCACAGCTCTGTAGATCAGAAATCTGAGTGGGCTCAGCTGGATTTTCTACATGTCCCATAAGCCTAAGATCAAGGTTTGAGCTGGCTTGGAAATCTAGAGCCAAGTGAGAATTGAATTCCAAGTTTATTTAGGTTATTGGCAGACTTCACTTCCTTGTGGCTGTAAGTCTCAGACCACATTTCCGTGCTGGCTGTCACTGGAGGTCACTCACTGCTTGGAGAGGTTGCTTGCATTTCTTCTCATGTACCCTCTTCAAACTGGCAGCCGTGCCTCAAGTCTTTCTCATCTCTTTGTGGTTCCCTTCTGCCAACAGATGGAGAAAGTTCAGTGCTTTTAAGGACTCACATAATTAGATTAGATCCATCCAGATGTCCTTCTTTTTTCTTTCTCCTTTTGTATTAGTTCTTTGAGAATTTCCAACAATATATTTTGATCATACTTTCTTCCCCTCCCCCAACTCCTCCCAGATCCATGCCTGCCCCCGGTTTTGTCTAATTTGTATGGTCTACACAGTCTTAAATGTGTGGACTTGTTACTGGAGTGTGATTGACCAACCAGGATCACATCCCTACAGGAAAGGAACTCTTCCTCTTCAGCACCTATCAATTGTGAGTAGCTTCCCAGATAGCAGTGAGACTTCCTGCCCACCTCCCCTTTCCATGTTGAGATTTGCTTGGCTTTAGCTTCCACGGGTTTTGTGCCTGCTGTCACATCACTGTTGTGAGCCCCTATATGCAATTACCCTGCTGGGTCCAGAAAGCAGTGTTTGGTTATGGTCATCTACTGCTTCTGGCTCTTAATGATCCCAGAGCCTTGGGAGGAGGGGTGTGATATAGATGTCCCATGTAGGGATGAACATCCCACAGTCACTTGTTCTCTGTACCTTGCCCTGTGTTTTGGTCTCTGTGTTAATCACTATCTACCACAAAAAGAAGCTTCTTTGATGATAATTGAGAGATGTATTAACCTCTGGTTATAAAGAATAAGTCATTGTGTGTTAGTTTAGTAGGTTCTCCCCCTAGGGCTTATGGCCTACCTAGCCACAGCATCTTGGCTCCAGTAACAGTGACAGACAGGAGTTTTAGCTTGTGAAGTAAGCCTTAACTCCAATCAGAAACTGATGGGCTACTCCTATGCCATTCCTGTCACTATTGCACCAGTGGATCTGTCTTTCCGGGCCAGTCATTACTGTAGCTATTGAAGACTACTACTACTACTACTACTACTACTACTACTACTACTACTACAAGATTACTTTCTCCTCTAGTGTGTATAGTACCTTCTAGCCTGTGACAGCTAGTCAGTATGGATGTAGCTTTCAGGTGAGCATCAGCTTGATTTCTCAATATTCTATGACTCAAGTAATGTGGCATCTTCAGTAGTAAGGCATCACTATCAAGTTATGGAGGATAACCAAGAGCAATGGCAATAGCCTATAATGTTTGGGATGCCAATGGATCCTCAGTGACTAATAATGCTAAAAGAGGTAACCCATTCCTGGCACTGGGGCTTTTATTTGTTCGCCCGTGTTGTCTAGTAGGGGCATTGTCACCTCATTACAGGACAAGTTCGTTTATAATCATTTCATATGTGTGTGTGTGTGAATTTCAGGAAGTTTCTATAGCAAGTAAGTTTCTACAGGACTTTTTGAAAAGGTCTTTAGTGTTAGCAATCCCTCCCCTTATTCTTTCCTACCCACTGCCCTCCCATCCCCAACAACATTTAACCCTTCTATTTTATTATTCCCCCTTTTCCTCTCTCTTGAAAGCACACCCCAACCCCTGACTACCTTCCTGACCTCTGTGGATATTCCAAAGGAAATACACATATCTGAAGATTCAAATCTAACATTCACAAGCAAGATTAAATATATAATATTTGTCTTTCTGGGTCTGGGTTACCTCACTCAGGATGATTTCTTTTCTAGATCCATCCATTTATCTTAAAATTCCATAATTTCATATTTCTTTACAGCTGAATAATATTCCATTGTATAAATGTACTACATTTTCATTATCCATACATCAGTTTTTTTATGGTGGTAATATACACAGAATACACCACTCACCTCTTTTACATGTATGATATAGTAGTATTACATACAGTTACACTGTTATGTAACCATTACTAACATCTGCTTCAGAACTTTTTCCTCATCCCAAAGTGAAACACTGAACCTATTAAACAAACAAACAAACAAACAAAACCTCCTGTATTGCTTTGCTTTTTGTTGCTGTGATGGAGACCATGACCAAAGCAACTTGAGGAGGGAAAGATTCGTTCCACCATATAGCTCACATTCCTGCATAAAGGGAAACCCGGACAGGTACCCAAGGAACACAGGATCTGGAGGCAGGAACTGAAATAGAGGCCATGAAGGAATGCTACTTAATGGCTTGTTCTTCATGGATTTCTCAGCCTGCTTTCTTATACAGCCAAGGACCACATTCTTGGGGTGGCACAACCCACAGTGGTAGCCTGGACCCTTCTATAATAATGATCAATCAAGAAAATACCTCACAGGCTTGCCTACAAGCCAGTTTGGTGGAGATATTTTTCTCAAATGAGTTTCCTTTTCACAGATGACTCTAGCTTGTGTCAAGTTGAGGGGGAAAACTAACTAGGACAGTACCAGGATTCTATTTTCCATCTCTGAGAATTTCACTACCTAGGGTATCAAGTTGGGATCCAGCATTATATACATGTACATATACAATTTTATAAGTTTTTTGAGACAAGGTTTCTCTGTGTAGTCCTGGCTGTCCTTGAACTTACTCTTTAGACCAGGGTGGCCTCAGAGACTCACAGAGATCCACTTGCCTCTGCCTCCTGAGTACTGAGATTAAATGCATATCTACCACCACCTGGCATGTATATGTTTTAATCAGTTTTTTCACTTAGCATGTTTTACAGGCTTGTCCATGTTGTAGTATGTATTAGAGTCTCCCTTTTATAAGGGCAAATGAGCCATGAAATAAATGAGTGTGGGAGACATAGCTCATAGATTCCAGGAATTAGGACTTGGAATCCTAGGGATATTCTTAGAAATTCTGTCTACTTCAGTCTCGACTCCAAGGATATGGAATAATATTATTTCCTACCCCAGAGTGAAGGCAAACACTGTCTTGAGCAGAGAAAGCCCACAGTGACAGGAACAGAGAGTGAGTTGAGCAGTGCAATGGGCTAGACCATTCATCTGTACCACACGCCTACTTTGTACAAGGTGCTGATGCTGAGCTTACAAACTGGGAAATACATGTATTCGTCTGTCCACTTGACAGGGGCAACTGAAGCTCAGAAACCTGTCCAAGGCATTACCACCGATAAGAAGAAACACACATTCAACGCCAGCCTGGAACTGCTTCCTAAGCTGGAAATAAGACAATGCATGTCTGTGAAGACATGACCACGTGGTTCTGGCACTTACTTCCTACCAAACCCTGCCATTGGAATTTGTAAATCTGGCAGAATAGTAGAGGGTGACTGCTATGGACTGAAATCTGTGTCTCACCTGAATTAGTGTGTGGATGCCCTAACCTCCAATGTGACTATTGGGGGACAGAGCCTGGAATAAAGCTGTAAAGGTTAAATGAGGTTATAAGGGCTAGATCTTGAACTGACAGGGCCTGTGCCCTTGCAGAAGAGGAAGAGGCACCAGATCAGCCACATGAGAATTTGATGAGAAGACATCAGCTTGCAAGCCTGAAAAATTCTTCAGCAGGAGCCCAATTACCCTGCACCTTGATTGTGGCCTTAGAGTCCCCAGAACA